AGTTAACATTATTTATTGAGAATTTTCTATTCTGTTTTTCATTTTTGATTGTTAGTGGATTGCTTTCTTTAAAAGAAAAATGTTAGATGTTTTTCTTCTTAATTTCTTTTTATATACGATTATAGGTACTTGATTTAAATAGGATATTTAGTGTTCCACAGCCAAGATAATTTTTAGGATAGAGTGATGCTTATTATAAATGGAAAAAAAACAGTGATTTTAGTGTTTAATATTTAAAGTATTTAAAGCAGTTATGTTGATATTCACATGTCACATTCATCAGTATTTCTTTCCTTGTTTCCTACTTAAATTCAGATAGGTTACCATAGTTCCAGTATCTTCAGATAGACTTTGTTTTCATTTTTATCATCATCATCATCATCATCTATACTAACAAACGCATATCCTGTCCAAGATCAATACTGTTAAAGAAATAATGGAAAGTTGTGAAGATCAAGACAGCCGTGAGAAAGTCATGTCAGCAATAACAAGAATAGAGGGGGCTGAAGGCAGAGTGGCAGAAGTGGACATCAAAGACCTAGTTGACAAAATGATACAGGAGGAGGTGGCTGCCGCAGAAGCCAGTTTCATTGAGGAGCAGGTATGTTCAGGAAAGAGTATGAATGGGAGAGTGAAAGATTGATCATATGCATATGCACATATGAGCGTATGTCTACAGTAGATATATGCATCCATGTAGAACCTATGTTTATATTGAATATTCTTGATATATATAATTTTGCCACATAAGATATATTTATTTATATTTCTTTAATGTAAACCATTTTAACTTTTACTTTATTGATATTGTGTTTGGTTTGATTTCCTTAGGCTTGGTAAAGTTCCATGGCATATACCAGTAATGCCTGAATTTAGTCTAAACTTTACCACAGGCTATGCGAGCTTTTTAACTATAGTAGGCAAAACCTTAGTGAGGAATACTGTCATTACGTATGACAATGGACATAATTCACGTTTAATTCCTTTTTTTTTCTCAGGAGGTAGCTTATGAGTCTTGGGAAAAACTAAGGGAAAACGAAGTACAATTCCAGATAGAAGAGTACAAGAAGAAACAACTCATGGCCGAGATTGAACAGAAGAAGAAGGACTTAGAAGAGAGAGAGGAAGTTATTTATTTCTTTGACAACCAAGAAAAGCTTGAGATGCTGCTTCCTGATAGAAAGAAGAGGTGAGTGTTTCTGTTTGTGTGTTTGATTGGTCTTTATGATTATCCACGTATATGTGTAGTTAATCTATTTTATTTTTATTATGATAATAATAATAATAATTATTATTATCATTATTATTATCATGACTATTAGTAGTAGTAGTAGTAGTAGTAGTAGTAATTTTATTTTTGTTATTATTATCATTATTATTATTATCATCATTAGTAGTAGTAGTAGTAGTAGTAGTAGTAGTAGTAGTAGTAAATTTATTATTGTTATTATTATCATTATTATTATTATCATCATTAGTAGTAGTAGTAGTAGTAGTATTGTTATTATTATCATTATTATCATCATTAGTAGTAGTAGTAGCAGCAGTAGTTAGGTCTTGGTCTTTTGTGAGTTGAGAATCCTGATATTCGATTGGACAGTCATTTTCATTTTCATTTAGGTAAATGATCAACCATTTTCAAAAGGAACCTCCACTACTTTGTATGATATTGTATATAGATCTTATATTGATAGAGTAGCCTTTTATTTTAAGGTTTATTCAGCAGTTTAATAACTTTCATTATATTTTTTTCATTGCTCAATCTACCTCGCTTTTGAGTTTGAGTCTAACATTATTTTTCACTCATTGCAGATATTATCCCAAGAAGAAGTCACTAATCTTCGGCAAAAAGCAGCCCAGGAAGGTTGATGAAGGTTACATTCCCCCTGAGGTTAGTGACTTCTTCTTCGGCAAAAAGCA